GACAATCATTTAAACAACAACAAAAGCAAGCATATAAATTAGACGTCACCAGTCAAGAACATCAATCAACCAAACATGCTACAGGACCAGAAGGGCCAGCCTTCAACACATTAAGAAAAGATTTAAACCTGTTGTATAGAAACCAGGCGTCCGTTAAGTTGTTGAGAAACGAAGCATCAAGCACGAAAGAACATCAAGATTGTAGGACCCCAAGGATGAAGGAAATGCTAAGTATCTGGGCGATGGTTCGCGAACGCGAACGCCTGGTATGGACCTCTTGTAATTGTTTGTTTTACTTGCCAGTGTTAATTGTACAACCAATATGGCCAACTAAAACGCACCTGAGAACCAGGCCTCATTTAGAAGCGGAGCACATAATGTAAAATGCGTTCAGTGACACTGGCCCAGCTTCAGGCAATGGCTGTGTATCTTACAAATGGTACGAATATTGTAGGTTATTTCTAGGCTGCGGCGACATGTTCATAGAGTACGTCTGATGTGTTTACCCTGCTTCCGCCACCAGGTGGTGCACTTAGAGTACAGATAGAGGGTTTTGAATTAGGAAGAAGAACAATTGCTTTTCAGTAGCAAATGCAACTTAGAGGAGTTTATCACTACGTACTAATATTCGTTCCTACATTCTGTGGAACTGTGCTGCTGCCTGTCTTGGCCAGGACTCTCTTGTAAAAGAGATTGTTAATCTCAATGAGACTTCTGGTTAAATAAAGGTTAAATAAAAAAAATAAATAAAACGGGTCTTTACAAACCAAAGCAAGCAAAAACTCAAATAAAATATTAATCTCTAAACACTACCTCCTCTACATGTGTTTCTTTATAATCTCATTTCTTTTTGTTGCACTCGCTGAGGACTTCGACTCCACAGCGTCCTGCAGCCACCACCTGCACCTGGTTCTGTTAACTGAACTGGCAGGCTGGGGAAGCTGTTTGGCTCCTGTATTCCTGTTGCCAACCTTTCATCTATAAGTGGCGTTGCTTTCTTCAAAACAAAACTAGCTAAGGCAAAGGCAGTTCTCTACAGGCACATTTAACACACATTACACATCATCTGGAGTCAACCATACTGTAGTTGGGCCTCCTTATATAGACTACTTCATATAAATGCTCTGGTCAAAATGTCAGATACATTTACATTTGCATATTCAAGAAAGGCTTTCCACATTTTGGTGTGTTGGAGTGTATTAGACAGGAGCTCCAGTGGAATGTGCTCTATTACCATCCTACCTACCAGAGATTGTTGGGGTCTCACAGAATGTTGGGACATTAAAGTTTATTATGAATTCTTATTCTTTTGAAACAAGCTCCCCTAAAACATGATTTGTGACATTTTGGGGATCTCTGCAAATACTAATACTAAAACACTGCCAATATGCTATGTTTGCCATGCATTTCTATTTTTCTGTATCTTTATCGTCAGATGTGCTGCCATAAAGCAAGTAGGCCTATGTTACAGTTAGCACACTGAGGAACACCAAGTAGAAACGATACAGGATCCAGTTCAAGCTCACATTTTCTGCAGTCCATACAAGACAGTTTACCAGCATTTGTGTACTTTGGGGTTAAGACACTGTGTAAGGCTGCCTGTATACTTTATATATGCGGTTTATTTTTTATTTAATGCACAATGAGGTGATAACTGTGCTCTGTGTATTATTTTGAGTTGCAATGGCCTTGTTCAGTTACAGTTTATTATTTTGGTTTGTTCCAGATATCCTCCCACATACCTTCTGTAATCTCTACACCCAGTTCCCTCTCCCAGATCTGTCCCAGCTCCAGAAAACCAGCAACTGAATAGCTTCTCAAAATGATTACTATATCTCCTACATTACAAAATCAATGCCTTTAAAAATCAGAAACATCAAAATCAGTTAATAAGGGGTTTTTCTTAATATCTGGAGGAAACTTTCTGATTAAAGGATTTTAGAATTTTTTAGTTGTTAAACAATCTAACAACTGTAATGTGGTAGTTAAACTAAGTACCCACTAAAAGGAAGCACTGATTTTCAACTGCTATTAGAAAAATAACAGCCATAATGAGCTAACTATTAAGCCAGTTGAAGCATTCCTGTTGAGACACTGCACACTGTAAACTCCACATGGACTTTATTCCCACTGTCATTTAATTAGTAGCTGTGTAAGAAAAAAACAATGTGTGCAAAATAGTTAAGAAATAGATAATAGAAATGTTCAGTTTTTAATATAATCACATAAGAAAAACAAACATAATTGATCAGGATCCCTTAAATTAGATTATTAAAGAATTGTGACCATAACAGGAGTGGGGCATTTTACCATGTAAGAAAAAACCTGACAGCGCTCTCTGGTGGACAAACTGTGTAATGGACACAGAGTTTCTAAATCTCAAACATATCTTAAGACATTCCTCTGATGAAATACACATACTGATACATCTGTAATGTCCCCTGGTGATCTGCATGCAATAAAAAATAATAATGAATATTTTCAATAATCTGCTGTAACAGAAAATCAATCAGTTCTATCAATTAAAAGTGTATAGAGTTTATTTTTGGATTAATGGCATCCTGACACAAGTACAGGTAAAGATCAGTGTGAGGATAAAGTACAGGTCAGAGAGCATCTGGACAGATGATTTGTGCATTATTAAAAGTAATGTACAGTACAGTTAGAGTTGAGGCACAGCTACTGATTGCATTACTGTGTGAGGATAGAACTGGTCTGGACTAGGACTCTGCCGCTGGAGAGACATCAGCAAAATATGTCTTGGGAAAAGACAAAAGATCAACTGAGCATACAGTTTTTTTCCTCTCTTGTTTGTAACATTTACCTGTGTCCCTCCCAGGCCTCTGTAGTTTTCCCACCTTCCAGGCACCATGTAGTCAGCATGTTGAGACATCCCACATCTTCAGTTAGGCAATCAACTACTAAACATGCTGCAATGCACTGTAACTGTAAAGTCTGAATGACTTGTTTGTCCTATATCAGTATAACTCACAAAACCATTTGAGTGGTTCCACATTCATTTTCAGTGTATGGAAACAGACTGATGGTGCCCTTTAGAGCATTCGTGGTAATGACATATACATGATTTGCAGTAAACTGGGTATCAAACCTTTTCTCTGTTTTTGGTTTCAACTAAAATGTGTCCATGGTTCTGAAAGGTGCAACAAATGTCTGCCTAGATTCATAACCTTTTAGGTTTATTCATTTTAAAAAAGTTTTGTTCTTGAATTCATCTGTTCTATGAAAATGGTTTGTAAGAGGAACACGATTACATTCTTTACTTGTAAGTAACAAGTAACTTCCAAGTAAGGTGTTTGTTAGAAGTTATAAAATCAAAAAATAATTCAGTAAGGGGTAGAATCCAACCAAAAGTGTTCAGCCATTAGCCAATTACAAACCTCAATTTATCTCAGATTCCTACATATTCAAATTTTGAAAGCCCTTTTTGTCTACAGACGCTGCAGGGTCGCCTTAAGTGGAAGGCATCATGTTGAACCACCATGTTTCTACAGTAGCCCATAAGGGACAAACCAAACACTAGGGCACATTTCATTTTTCAAGTTAGTTTGCGCAGAGCAAGGGAGTTGCAATCTGCAACTACACCACTAAATCCTACACACTGGACCTTTAATTGGCACCAAGTTACACAGTTTTCTTCAAAAAACCCTCCTATGAATTTAGTTAGATTTCAGATTGTGTCTATGAAACTGTGGAAAACTACAAGACCTGGAAAAGTTTTATTCAAGCAGCATGAAATCATGAGTGAATGGTAGATTACACTCGGTACAAGTCACAACGAGGGTCCACCGGTCTGGTAAACACACAGACTGCAGTGTAAATGAGTGTGAATACACACAAACACAAAGAATGCACACACAACTGCTTATGAGTAGACCACCTGTGTTTGATATCAGCCTGTGAGCACTCTAGCTCTGCACAAACTTCATTTAATGTGGCAACCAGTCACCTTGTCATTAAGCCTGAGTCAGTTCTTCAGTAGAACCACACAAGCAAACCCCTGCCTCTACAACCAGTCTGAACAGTAAAGCCAGCAAGTCCAATAAAAAAAGGGGGAAATACTGATTGTGCAAAACATTTGGCACCAGTTTATTCATCATTTTTAACTTAACACAAACTAGATCACATTTTGCCAAGAATTTCAGTGCAGATATAAAAAAAAAACATGCATACTAAATATACTGTGACAAAAGTCTTTGTGTCTGATTCTCCACACAAAAAAGAGCAGAACAGCATCGTGTGCTTGCGGTGGTGAGCCCACAGGCTTGAAAGTAAAAACTGATTTTTTTTTCTTACACTGACAATAAATGTTACCTCCTCATAACATCACTCAAATAGGAACTCCCAGAGGATGAACCCTCATTAGCTAGCCTAGAATTAAATTACAAAATATCCAACAACACATGATCGCTAACTTGCTTGGAAAGTTTTTCTATCTCAGGAGACACACGCCAACACTCACACACAGAGACAGATTAGCGGCTTTCACACGAGAGAACACAACAAAACCAGAGGGTGAGAGGCACTGGGAGGACTGCCCCCCACAACACAGGCGATAAAAACAAAGTTAAAGGTCAGACTCAAGCTGATTTAGCAAAAAATCTAGTGGTTGTCTATGTCAGTCAGTTCTAGAAAAATAGATTCTCTTATTTTTTTTTTGCTTGTAATAATTCTGATGTGACTTTTAAACATGTCCGGTGGCAGTCTTTCTAGTGCCCCTGTTGGCAGCACAGAGGACATATGGGAAAACAAAACCTCCTAGTAATCAATATCAAACACAAGGTCAAAGGTGAATTTGGAAGCATCAGAGAAGCGCAGAAGACAAGGACTGGACGATGAACTGTGACGCCACATCAACATGCTAGGGCAAACAGGAAGAGATCTAGAGAAAACAAAAAGAAAAACACAACAGGGAGACAAACCTAGGTTAAACAGCAATGGAACACAGACAGGAGAGAGAAAAAAGAAACCAAGAATGATCATCTGTGTGGGGTTGATTACAGTCTAAACACTCAACAGTCAGTGTCGGGGACAATGAGGACAAGCCACATGCTACCACGAACTGAGGTGGATGACAACAGCAGCAACACACACGAGACAGACTAAATAAAAATACCAGGTCACACAGGTCTCCAGAGTCCTAAATCTAAACACAGCTAGTCACATATGAAGGCTGGAGAGCGCAACTGCAGTAATGACTATTTATATGATCTGTTAAAATCAGTTATTAGAAATGGCTGACTGGTATTTAAATGACGCAATTAAATAATTAAATTAAATAAATCACATTTCTTACTACAAGCTACTGCAAGCTAATGAGTTGAGAAATTATTTTAGGAAACAGACTACAGTAGTTGTGCATGTTTTATCCCATTTGTTATATAAAACCTAACATCAGAGCACTGTGCTGTGTTTTAGATTTCTGGATGTAATTTTGCTGCCATGTCAGGCACTTCTATTTGCCATTCATTTCTGTGAATGATAGATATGAAAATCTATTAGCAGACTATTGAAATTGTGTGAGCTGTGCAATCTCTCGCTGCGAACATCAGCTGACATTTACATTACTGTAGCTTAGTGATGCAGTTTTGTTGCAGATTTGAGTCTGCATTGTTTTAGTCCACAACAAAAATGCACTTCTGACAAAGATAAATGCAGACTTGCTGTTCACTCAGATGGTTTCTATAGTTTGCCATTTGATTTTCATGCCATAAAGAAATTAATGGAAACTAATGGCTTCCTGGAACAGGAGGTAAATTGCACCTGGACCTATCCAGCATGCATTTAAAAGTGGTTGGTAAAAATGTAACGTATACATGATTTGTAGTTTGTACTTCCGTTTACAAATGGCTGGTCTGTCCATATCCCATCCTAAGCCCCGCCCCTTTTGGAACCTCGGTCAACTTTCTCCTTTCCTGTACTGAGTTATGCTATGAGCTAGCCTCGTTCCCCTTGAAAAGACATTCAACTTGACTTCAAATACATTTTGAAGATGGTTAAAAGATTTACAGTATAGCTATAGTCACATCTGAAGTTAGCCAACATTAGCAAAGCACTAGCAGTCTAGCTAGCTAATCTACAGCAACTACTACTACTACTGTAACTTTTAATGTAGATTAGCTAGCTTGTAAGCTAGTGTTTCTAGTCTATGTCTGTAGCAAAACACTACGTAACTAGCTAATTAACCAGCTAACTGATGGAATAGACATAAAGATAAAGATTAGCAGGCTAGGGTTTTGCTGTAGTTAACTTAAGATGTAACTATGTCATTTTTATTTTCTTAATCATCCTCAAAATGTGTTTGGTTTTTCAACATAGACCTAGCCTAGCACATAGCATATCTAAGTACAGGAAAGGAAAAAGACAGAGGCTTGCTCAACTGCTATTGGATCACAGAGATGCTTTATTTTTCAGTTTTCATTTTCCCCACAATTTAAAAGGATGAGTCTGGTGATATTCATATATATATGTGTGTGTGTGTGTATGGTCAACAAATCCCATGTACACAGCCTAACAAACAACGACCAGATCCCAGTGTGCCAGGGTAAAAATGAAATAAGGGCCAGCCTACAGAGAAGTAACAAGATGTGTCACTGGCCAACTCCTGACCTCTGAGGTGAGCGAAACAAACGTCCTGTAGGTTCCTCTAAAGATGAGACGCTCTGAGCACATAGAGACTGAAAGTGAATTTAGGTGATCCTCATTAAGATATAAAACGTACCACCAGGAAGTGGCGCTCAAATGGCTGACAGTGTAAAGAGCAGTGGTAATGGGTTTATAGTACCTGTAACAGACCTACAAATCACCAATTTAATGGTAAATGTATCAAAGTAACACTGTATAGTGACTAACGGCATATCCTGGCTGCAGTAGTTTTTCAGTAGTCCAGTTCATGTGATGAATGATTTACATTCACCCGTGCCTTTATCACTATTAAACAACACTTAAAAGACACATGCAGTGGTCTTAACTCACAACACAGCTGGATCAGCTATGACTACAAAGTCCCTGATACATAATGGTGATTTTTGTGCAATAGCAAAAATGCTCTGATATACCAAGAAACTTCCAGTGCCAACATAACATTAAGTAAATGGGACAATATTACATAGAACATGGTGACCTTCAGCTGCTTTGACATGAATAACCCTGTAGCAGTGAGAGACTCTCTGATATCACATACAGTTTTACTCTGACTCAATCTTTGGACTGGACCTGGAATCAGTTTTAAAACTTGTTCTACTTCTAGAAATACACCCAGGACTTCACCTGGTGTGATGACTATTGATTCAAATATTCAAATTGAAAGACAGGACCAACAGGCACTTGTTGAAATGGACTTTTAGAATAAACTATGTCTCCCTGTGTTTTTGGAAAATTAGTGATTTATTCAGATGAAGGCATGTATAAACAGAGAGGGGGGGTTCTATGAAGTCTGTAGCAGCACCGATCCTACACACACAAGTCCACGCCACATGACACGTAGCACACGTCACCGAAAAGAACCGATGCTCAACAGGCAAGGAGAGGACACACACCGGGAGATCGAATGGAGTTGTTGGACTTTTACATTTGTTTTTCAAAATAATTTCAATTCAGATAAATAATTTAGGCAATAAATAGTTCCCCAACACACAGGGGAAGTATAAAACCTATATAAAAATAGAAAAGGCATAATAGTTTAAATATACATCTCAACAATTGTCTCGCTTCCTAGTTCTATTAAAAAACAAAAAACAAAAACATTCTTGCAAGTTTAAGCAACTAACAGGTTTGTCATGAGCAATTTGACATTTATATGAATTCTCCAATCACAGAAGATATTCAGTGAGAGACAGTGGTGTAGCCCTCTATAGATTAGCTAGCCGTGAGCTAGCAGGACAGTAGCTGAGGGATGTTGATGATTTTTCTTTTTACAAAACACGTGGATTCAAAGGTAGAAACTAACCAAAACCATAAAATGTCTTCATACAAAGCATTACATCTGCATTAGACAGACTCTTAGATATTAAGATTAGTGGAACGAGCCTATGATGTTTGATTTTATTGCCAAATTTCACAGTATTGCTAGCTACAGCTGACAGTTGGTTTTCACAGCCACATCAGCCCAACCGGTCACTCAGAAGCACAGGAGGAGCACCACCAAAACATGCTGCGTGTAGTCTTCTGGAAAAGTCTACACTACACGACTACTTCACTACATGCAAAATCAACTGCATTAGAAATGTGTCTCACTAACCTCCAGATAAAGCATGCAAATATCCATGTCATACAGAAATCAATTCCAGCGAGCGTTTGTAAACAACATAACCCATACACAACTGTGTCGCCATCCACCTGAGGCCGTTTGATAAGTGTAAGCCGTGCAAGCGTCGCTACACAACGAGTCAGATATGAGCAAGCATCAATGTGTCGTCTTTAGATAGAACAGGTGGCAGTTCTGTCACACCACAGAGCTCCGAGGAGAACAGTTAACAGAGAGAAAATGTCTAAATGCAATCTGCATGTTTTGGTGCGGCTCCTCATGAACAATCTAAGCTTCCGTACCTTACCTTAAGCCTTACGACTAATTTACAGTGCATACACAGAGTTTTCAGACCATTTCAAGTTTTCCCCATTTTGTCATGTTTCAGAATCATCTTAAAACGGATTCATTATACAATACTCCACCATGACGAGGCAAAACTGGTTTTTGGAGAGTTTTGTTAATATCCCATTACATAAGTATTCAGACCATTTGTTATGGCACTCGCAATTGAGTTTCCTTGAGGTGCTTGTACAAGTTGATCAGAGTATGAGATGTGCCTAATTGAATTCATTGGACATAAGAAAGGTAAGCTGGCTCAGCAGCTGGACACAAAATCACAAGATCACACGAGAATCCAGGCTTCAAGCTATGCACTTGTGTCCAAACCACGGTGGTTCGGAGTAACTACTGGCAGCTATGGCATGAGCTACGGGCATGGTTTAACACTAGCTGTATGTGACTGTGTGTGAGAAGTGAGTGTTCTGCTTGAAAACAACAATGGCGTAGATGCTGCTAGCATCAGTTCTATCAGAACTGGAGAGTATTTCTTCAGTGAAACAAGAGCAACTGAAAGAACAGCACTCTCATTAGAAAATATGTTTTCATCTTTTCTCGACTGGCTTCAGTAAGAGTTTGACTACGTTCTATGGGTCACTGATTTCATTTGTTGAAGTTTGCCAATCACTCGCCTTTTCCAAACAGTTTCAATGACAACTTCCCAAATGGTTCTGTGTAACAAACCACATG